AACAAAAAAAATCCAAACCAACCAACAAACAAACAAACAAAACCAACCAACTCACAACCTAACCCAACCTCGGAACCAGCAAACTAAGCCAGTCACCCAAACAACAACTCAAAGCAACAAACAAACCAACAAATGTTCCAATGGGCAATCCTCATGCAGTCAACGTGACTGTTTGTTGTCCACAACAAAAAAACAAAACAAGCTGAGAGAACATCCACAGCTGGAGGCTAAAAAAATGCTCAACACGTGTTTCACAAAGGAAGCGCAGTCATTTGGTCGGCATGGTTACGACGACAACAGGAACTGAAAGTAAGGAGCGTGCCATTTTGCTTTCGATGTTAATGACTCGTGACGGCTAGTTGACAAAGTCTCAACCACACACAAGAACTGTTAGTGAATGAATGCTGAGAGTCTAGGATGAAGTCATCAATGCTAAGGCTAATGTCTATTTTTGTTGTTGTTTTAAATATTGCCCTCAAAGCTAGTTTAACTTAACACAATGGCATTTAGTAGGCACATCCATCATGAACAGAACAGAGTAACTAAAAAGTCCCAAGACATGCCGGAACTGCCTTGTCCCTTGGATTTCATTTTCAAAATTCATCCCACAAAGTCACTGTTACTTGGCAATTTAAATTTGGGATGTCTTTCATGAGTAGAGGTGGCACGGCGGTCGACTGGTTAGCACATTGGCCTCACGGTGCAGAGGTGCAAGGGCTTCCTGTGAGGAGTTTGCATGTCCTCCCCGTGCCTGCATGGGTTTTCTCTGGGTACTCCGGCTTTCTCCCACATTCCAAAAAGGCGAATGGAATACTCTAAATTGTCCCTAGGTGTGACTGTGAGCCTGCGACCCTGGTGAGGATAAGCACATTACAAAATGGATGGATGGATAGATCTCATGAGTAGACCCACAAAAACATCTTAAGAAGCTATGCTAACCAACTGACCTAAAACCAACTAATTTCCAGGGATCCTCACCGCTGAATTTCCCTTTGCAAAACCAGTTTCACTCAGCAATGTGAAATCTGGTTGACATATCTATCGTGAGTAGACCCCCCCCCCCAAAAAAAAAACCTCTCCAAAAGTTTGCCCTTTTGGTTTTGAAGCGGCTATTTTTCAGCTTGTCCTCAAGACTGTCCTACAAGACGTTGAAGAGGATGTAGAGGTCTACTCGCTCATACCTTTCAGGCTAAATGCTACAACGCCACGTAGCCTTCTGACATGTGACTGACTTTGTGTCAAGAAACAACATCAAGAGTGAGTGACGTGCCCACCAAAGCCATCAATCACCAAGCAGAAATTACAGGACGACCTTCGCCTGGCAACAACCCACCATGCGTTTGCTGGCCGGCCAACGACAATAACAGCAACGTGCACGTGTTTTGGCATTTGTGAGTCACACTTGCCGTCAACGTAGCATTAGCCACACCACACCGCTAACTTTTGGTCAGGCTTGTTTTGTGTCCTTTATGAGTCAGAACTGGGCGTGTACTATTGCGTTCCGACAGTTGTTATTTTAGGAATGCGGGTGATTGTACATTTTGCGTTTGTCAATGTTTGATGCAGCAAGGATGGGAGCCATTGGCTTGTTTTTTCTTTGTGCCACACCATGTCATGGGTTTTCTTTGACCGCTGTGTGATTTATTTCAATTAAAATAAATTAATAAATAAATGGGGTTTGGTGACAATGTGTTGAGGTTAGGGATGGGCAATCTAGCTTTAAAACAAAAGTTTCTGTGCAAAAAAATCAAAATTCAATCTGACATTTGATTTCTTCTTAGTTCCCTAACTTCCACAGAATCATAGAAATACAGGAGTGCGTTGCGATACGGGTGACCTTTTAGTTTTGTTGAGATACAAGTCATGAGTCAGACAATTTTTTTTCTTTTTTTGCATTGATTTGTTGGTAAAACTGGAGATACAAGTACTGTTTGGTAGGAGTGAACCTAACTCAGCTCACTTGACAAAAAGCAGCAGTTTGGCAGAAAGTAAACAATTGTTCCAAAAAAAGAGGCTTCAAGCTGTTTATTGCCTCTGCCAGATAAATTTAATGCCAAACTAAAAATAAAACCAAAAAAAAAATACATCTCGTGTGTTTAATTACAACAACCACATAGCTTTGCTTTCATGAAGTGTATTTAGCATAATGCTCACACACCGTGCAAAACATCAAAGAGGCGAATGAAACCAGCATTGATGGTGCAACCCTTTGCACAATGGATATTTAAGCACAAATAGTGGAGCAACACATGTAGACACATAATATAACAATACTCACAGGTATCTTGTCTTTATCCTTCAGATTGTGTCATGACTTTGTTTTTATCTGTTTTAAATAGTGCTATCTTTCTAATTAAAAAATGTTTTTGAGGTGGCTGGAGTGGATTCATGGCATTTCAATTTCATTTCAATGAGGAGTGTATTTGAGATTTGAGATGCTAGTGTGGTCACAGAACAAATTTAAACTCGCATCAAGGCACTTCTGAATCTGTACGTTAATGCGGGAAAGAAATGCTTTTAAAGCTTGTTAGCTATCAGCAGAAATTCCAGAAAAGCAAAAAAAAAAAAAAAAGGGGGGGACAAAACTTGTCATTGATTTGCTTTTTAAATTAGCAAAACGGAAAAAAAAAAGACTAAAATGGGCGACTTCAACTGAAGGCCATGTCGCGCAGCCCTAGTTGAGATCCAATCAAATATTTTCATCTCATCAAAGAGTGCTAATCAGCATCCCAGTCACACGTCCACGCCGGAAAATTCATTTCCCCACTCTGGCCGTTTCGCTTCGATGCCACGCGGCGGGATGACGATGCCAGAAGCCGAGCGGGCGCCCGTCTGTCGCTCGCGCGACGTGCAGCGCTTCAAAGAAGCGACCACTTGCGACTGTTGTGTTCGTCTGTCGCGCTTCGGCCGCCAAAAGCCAAAGTGGCAAATGAGTGCGAATGGCTTGGCACGCGCAAGCTAATCACAGAACGGGGCGGCGTCCAATCAAAATGGCAGAGTGACGAGCTGTCCTCACACCTGTTTGACGACCACACGCACACACACACGCGTGCTCGCTGACTGTCTTAATCAAAAACGCAAACACGCATGGACGCACGCAAGCACACGCACGTAAAAATAAAAACAAGCCTTTTCCTCGAGAGGCCAATTATCTGTTAAATGGATGCACTCCGTCAACACTGTGTATGAGCACATGACAGCTTGCACGTGGTGCTTCGACAAAAGTACTGAGACACTTGCGGGGAGTCGAAAAAAAAAAATCTGAAATTGGACAAGCGTATTGAGGACACCTGCAAGAAGTGAAAAAGGATGAATTTGCAGATTTTGGACAAGCGTGCTTGAAAACAGTTGCTTCGACAAAAGTACTGAGACACTTGCGGGGAGTAGAAAAAAAAATAATCTGAAATTGGACAAGCATATTGAGGACACCTGCAAGAAGTGAAAAATGATGAATTCGCAGATTTGGACAAACGTGCTTGAAAACAGGAGATAAAAGTATTGAGACACAGCAAGTAACAGGAAATGTGGTGTTTGGGGACAAAAGTATTGGGACACCAATAAGAGGTGAAAAAAATGAAGATTTTGGACAAAAGAATTGGGACACCTGTTGGATAAGCAAAATATAGAGAAAAGTATTGGGAAAGCGTAAAAATTAAACGAAATGAGAAACCTACAGGAAATTAAACAACACTTGACAGGGAGTAAATAAAAATTCTGCACAACAAAATTAGACACCTTTTTTTGCAACAGTATGATTCAACTGTTCTGGGAACAACACTGTGCAAGATTTTGGAGTTCACCCACGTCCTCCCACAAAGTTCGAATCACAAATCCAACATGTCTGGATACGATCAAGAACGACAACGACAATGATGAAGACGACTCGGCAGACTTTAGCGATGCGCTTGTCGGGCGGGTCAAAACAGGACATGAGGAGCTCCAGTGTCGGACCAGCCGAAGCACGTCTGAGAAGAGTTTGTTGTGCTCGCCCGGTTCTCATGAAGTCATGGCCTGACACTCGGCCAAGTACACGTACACACACACACACACACACAAACACACACACACACACACCACACACACACACACACACACACACACACACACACACACACACACACACAAAACAAAAACAATGCAGTCAAAAGAGCTAAAAACAAAAGAAGACAAAATAGTGACTTGTTTTATTGGTTGCATGTGTTTGGATGGCTTGGACAGAAATGGTGTTGTTTCAGCGAGACTCTCACACATGAAGCTGAGATCGTAAATCAGCAGCGAAGAGAAAGAACATTCCGGCTTGCAGTGTGGCTGACATCTAGTCGCGAATCAGTGCCGAAGACCTCAGAAGAACTTGTGCGCTACCGCAACTCGGGTGAACACCTTCACCTCAACCTGAGGGTAGCGAGGAAGGCAGAAAGGGAGGAAGGAAGGAAGAGAGGAGGTAGAAAGAGAAGGTAGGAAGGTACGTAGGAGAGGAAAGATGGGAGGAAAGAGAGGAAGGGGGGAGAGAGGAAGGATAGAAGGACGGAAGGAGGAACAAAAGGAGAGAGAGAGACAAGGTAGGAAGTAAGGAGGAAAGTAACAAAGTGAGAGAAGGCAGGGTGGTGTGTCGGAAGGACGGAGAAAAGAAGAAAAGCACAAGATGAAGCAGGGAATGAGAGAAGGACGGAAGGAACAAAGAAAGGGAAAGGAAGACGGGAAGGTGGGAAGGAAGGAAGAAAGGTGGGTGTTAAGATATGATTCCTCTCTGTTAGCTGGGTTTGAAAGAAACAATGTAGAATGCTGTTGAAGGTATTTCCTGCTGACTGTGATTACAATCACCTTTGGTAACCCCTCACCCCCACTAAATCGATTCGTAAACTGCAGAAAATAAATTAAAACCCTTCGAGTAATTGTACATCGCCTCCAGCCTTTATTTGGATTACCAACATTCTCCTCGTCCGAAATTCAACGAACACGCGGGAAAGAGGAGGCCGCTCTTCCCACAACATGGGGTAGAGGGCAGGAAGGAGGTAAAGAGGGAAGGAAAGAGGAAACTAAGGGAGAGGTAGGCAGGGACGTATGTAGGAAGGCAGCAAAGAAGGAAGGAAGGAAGGAAGGAGTAAAATAGGAAACAGGCATAAGGAAGGAAGTAGGGAATGATGGGAAGATGGAAACAGCGATGGAAGGAATGAAGGGAGCAAGGAAGGAAAGGAAGGTTGGGAGGTGTTTAGGATGTAGGGAAGGTGGTGAGAAAGGGCGCTATGAAGGAGGGAACAAGGAATAAAGGAGGGAGGGTGTCACACGCGACAAAGAAATGCATTCGCAGAGGCTTGGGTTCATATTGCAGTGACACACTCAGGCTAATTAGCATTATTGTTCCTTTCAACCATAGACGTAGTTTCGACGGCTTTTGCCATACATCGGCGCAGAGTAAATGTATTATGGGAAAAAAATGTAGCGCACAGTTTCAACCATAGACGTAGTTTCGACGGCTTTTGCCACGCATCGGCGCAGAGTAAATGTATTATGGGAAAAAAAATGTAGCGCACATTCGCATTGTGGGAAATGTAGTACATCAGTGAAATCCGCCAATAACCTCCAATCATTAACTAATATCCAAGTTTCGACGTTTAATTAAACATCACCTAAAGACACACTCCATTAAACCAAATAACTTACTTCTGGCGCCGCATGTTGATGTTAACTTTACACTGTGGTAAACACTTGTAGCATTCAACAACTTCTAATGTTAACAATTATCGGATTTATAATAACGGTTCAAGTATTCTTCATAACTGAACATCGCGAACATTGTACACATGTAAACCCTTTTTGAAAATAGACGGTCAACATTTTAGAAATTCAAATGAAAACAAAACAGTTGAGCATTACTTACCAAATCAGAGCGCTGCTGAAAACGAGGACATGTAAAATCGCTCAAACGTGAAAACGAGGACGGGGTGTCAGCTTCAAGCGGAGAAATAAAAGTGTTCATTGAAAGCAAATAAAAACCTAATTGAAATGTTTATCACATCCTCATTGGGAGGTCCGTCCTGAAATCAACTCCTCACTCGGGTAAATCCAACATCGAGAACGTTCAAACTTCGTAACATCCATGACGTCATAACGCTATGTAAATAATTCCCCAAACTTTTAAATGTTCCCTTATATAAAATACTGAGTGTCCTAAATGTTAGCAGAATTCGACACTTTTTAGTTCGGTCAACTGCATACCAACATTTGACTTTCACAACCTGCTAGTACGACTGTTTGGATTTACAGTGCAAGAATAATCCTAATAAGCTCAGTTTACATTGTATGTTGAAATGAATCATAGTTACTGTAAACGTGATGCGTCTGACATTATTGGACGCCTGTTCATGTCCCGCATTTTGTTCTGGTATGTTCTGCACTCTTGCCTGTGAAAGCGTCTGCAGGCGAGGCCAAGTGAAGCTTTTTGGCTGAGGACGAAAAAGTTACATAACAACTTTGGCAACATGTCCGCGCTCGCTTTGGCCTGACTTGGTCCTTTTTTTTTTCTCTTTTTTTTCTTTTGGTTGCTGCTGATTTTCTTGTTCCGTCCTGCTCTGTCTTGGTCTCACGCTGGTGTTACGTAACCGCTCAAGACTCACTTCACTCCGTTAGCTACTTTAAATGTTGTGCTGCACAATAAAGAGACAAAACAAGCCGTTTGATGAGATTTGCACAAAAGGTCAGGCTGTGAGCAGCAGTAGGTTGGCCAGTCTCCCGACAACTCAATTCTCTGCATTTTGCTTTGCTTTGGCTTTTTTTTCCGGCAGCATTTTCCCACTTCAAAGTCACTTTTCTTTTTTAAACAGCATTTACATGGCAGTTAAGACGTTCATTGAACAAGAAAGTTATTGATTTTAGTTGTCCTATCACTATGGAGCGGACCTCCAGTAAATCTGCACATTGGAGCAGGACCATGATTACTGGCCTCGTAAAAGATTTCCCTTTGGACGGCAACATGCTTAACTCAGCGGAAATATGCAAATGACATGTATGTAATAAAATTCAGACAACGGTGCAGGCTCGGAACCACAAAGTGTCACACTTTCAGCGCTATTACTCAAAATAAATAAATAAATAAATAAATTCCGAGATGTTTCAGGAGTGACCCGAGCCAGAAAAAAATCTCCCACCTGCTAAATGTCATGTGAGAGGCGACGAATGCCATCCGACGGCGTCTGGCTTCTGGCATGGGAGTGTGTCCATCTGCGAGGTCCACCCGCAACGGCGGGAGCCTGCACCTGTGGAGCACAAACACGCCGTGACTGGATGCCTGGGCCAGGAAAAGACACCATGAACATTGGCACGCGTTTTTCAAACACAATTAATAACAACTTGGATTCGCTAGTTTTCTGTCTGTCAATTAGTTCAATTAGCATGCTAGCTAGTTAGCATCACGGGGCTACGTCACGGTCCTCTGCAATCACGCAGCTTTTCCCGACGGCGTTACTGGGGAATGATGACACAGAAGAAAAGAGGAGCACAAAGCAGGTTTCATCATTCCCGTCTAATGACTAGTCGCCGCCGGTGGCTCGACAGCTCGTCACTTTGATTGACAGCTCCCAGGTCGGGCGGCGGATGGCACATCAGTCAGTCAGTCAGCGGCGACAAATTGCGTCTTTCAGCGGGAAATCCTGCCTGGAAGCGGCCGTACATGTGGCGCATTGTGGATAAGCTTTAGTACCTTTCACCGGGAATTCTGCTCCGACGAACAAAAGGACGTTTAAGTTGCGTTTTAGGACACATCAAACAACAGAAAGTTAACTTTCTTCCACTTACTTTATATTCAATAGCTGCACATTTTATTTCACTTTTTTTAAATTTAAAGGGCATATTTTATATATATACCCACACACACACACACACACACACACACACACACACACGTAAACATGAATGGACAGGTGCGGCGACGGCGTAGGATTCAGAATGTTGCACATTTATTTTTCCCATGGAATGCTTCCAGCTGGCGTTGTTGCACGACTTTTGCTGCCAGGGAACGCCTCCTTCAAGCTCGAAACAAACGGAAAAAAAAATCCGTGCAGGAGAAGACATGTTATAGCTTCTTGAACATTTGCTTGTGCCAATCGGATGCTTGCTAGCCCGCACTCAAGTCAATGTCCGACTGGCCTGTTGGAAAGCGATCGCATTTGACCACAGTCATGTTTCAAGTGTTTTGTTTTGTGTTGGAGGTGATGATACGATACTGTCGTGTTATTTTGCAGACCATGGCAGTTATGAGAATATGTCTTAGAAGAAAAGGAGAATATTTCATTGTATACCTGCATTTCACGATAAAACATTTCCAGTGAGTAAACATATAGATAAGGCAAAAAATATCATGTGATTTTCACTCCAATATTGATACAACTCACTGAAATGTTGTTAAAGTCACGCAAATTGGAACGCAATTTTACACAAATGACAATACGATTAACCGCCATTTTGTGTGTGGAAGGAGATTTTCTCTGATGTGGGACAAAATAACCCCAGCGTGCTCATTAAATCGGCATCATGGTTGATGTAAGGCGTTCTGTAATGAGCCAAAAGCGTGTGCACGCTTGTCGCTTCATGACCTCCGTGTGTGAGCGTCAGTGTGTATAAAAATAAAACAGGTCATTTGGATGGTGTGTGAAAAAGAATGGGGGGGGGGGGGATGAAGTTGTCTCCTCGGGCGTGTGGACCGAGCCAGCGCCGACAAGTTAATTCACGCTCACAACGCTGTAGGCCATTCTGATGGTGCGCTCATCAAGTCTCGCCATTGCGCACACACAAACACACACACAGGCGCACACACACAGGCACACACGCAGGAGATTGTCTGTGTGTGTGCTGGTTTCACATGCTGTGTTTTACGAGGTGATAACGTTCTGTTTGGTTTTGTTCACCGTATTGACTTTCTCTCAGCACAGCAACTGTATCGGCGAGCCGACTTCAGCACTCACCTCACTGGACACTTCATGCGCCACATCAGCGGATGTGATCCGATATGCGAATGAAAACATTTTTGATGAGATAATAATGATCACTTTTGATTGCGCTGGGCGGATCCGGCAATTCATTTGAACCCTTTCGGGGACGGCGGCTACTACAGTGGACAGCTTATCATGTTATCAGGTTACGGGGTGCATGAAAGGGTTCAAATCTCAGAGATATTGCAGGTGTACTTCGCAAATGGAATCTGTTTGTCCGTCTTTCTTTCCATTTGTCCGATGACGGTTGCAAGTAGGTTTTCTGTTCTGGACAAGTGTAACAATAATGGCTTCCACATGCTATCAAAAACACTAAAAAAGACATTTTTCGCAGACGTCCTGAGAAAAATAAAACAAAGCATATCTCCCAGCCACAATGTCCGCTCTCCAGAGGCTCAGCTGCACTGTGTTTGTTTACGGAGGCAATTACATTTCCTGCCCCCATAGCTAATATATTTGCGCGGGAATTCGGCAACACCTCTGGACTGTGCCCTCGATGTTCCGTATCGAAGGATCCGAACACACGCAGCGCTCAATCCCCTCGTGATAATATTAAAAAACATGAGATGAGATCAAAGATTCCTGCATTAAAATTCCCTGCCAAAAGCTTCACAATGGGATTGCGATACGGTATGATGCATGATGGGTAAACGCTCAGGCTCCTAATAACGCCAGAGACATGAATGACGCCTGACTGTGATGTAGACCACGGCAAAAGAGAGAGGGTGAGAGATGGAGTGTGCCACATTAGCCAGTCTGATGACAAAAATGAACACTTTCATTACTTGGACGCAACCAGTGGAAATGCTCCCCAGCCCCACAAACGCACATTGCACATTTTCATCTTTTAGCACTTTCACGGAAGACATTTTTTAGATTGATTTGGATGTATCTTTAGAAGTTGAATTGATTTCCTGAGCTACGACTTCTCCATGCGGCATTGGGATCAATCCCGTGCCCGCCTTTGTTTTCGTCTTAATGTGGACGACTTCCACCAGGAAATGATAAGTATCGAATCTCATACACAAGCGGGAAGATCAATACCAAGCATTGAGGGAAAGGGTTGCCTTGAATAATTACTTTTAATTATTTAATGAACACATGCCTATGTCTATATTTTCTAATTGAATTCTATCGAATAAATATAGCCGACATATCATAAGATTATATCGGCCAATTGTTTTTTTCTGAATATTACAGTACATTCATCCAAATGAATTACAGCGGTAATGAATGAACACGTTGATTTCAAGTTTTCACTTTAAAAAAAAAAATAGGTTAAAATATTTACATCTGTACAAAATGTCTTTGTGAAATCAATGTTATATTTTTATTGAAAAAGCCTGACATTTTAATTGCATAGGTTTTACTGAAGGTTTTGCATGTTTTTTTAAAATTAAGACTATAATGTAACATAATGAATACGATGTTCACATTTTAATGTCATTTCTATTTACATTTAATACATGTTTATATATAATAAGCTTTCAATTTTTATTTGCTGAAATTTTGACTTTTTAACAATCCACAATATGACAATATTTCTCTTTTCTACACTTTTTATATTTTCACTCAATAAATGTAAAAAAAAAAAACAAAAAAACAACTTAATAAATCTTTCCGATCCACTGACATCGAAAATATTGACAATATTTCATCAGTTTCACGTCAAGTGTCATCTAATCCCATTTCCAGGCGTCATTGTTGTTTGTCCTTGACAACTCAAATTGACCACATGAATACTAAAGCGTGAGAATTTAATCTGCACTGACGCAAGTCCCAAAAGAGTTGAGGACAAGTTGCAACACACACCTCATCTCCGCCATTATCCCCGTGAACGGCGGGGATCTTTTCCCCTGTCGCCCGCCGCATGAACGCATGCAGCAATCACCGTGTGACTCTCTCGGCTTTGATGTTTTCCCGGCACCCGACGCTCCCGCATGGGATTTCCTCGCCGTTGCGACATGCGGGAAAGCTCTGCACAAGAAAGCAACCCGGCATTCACGCAGGTGGGAGCTGCTAACACATTATGTGCAATTCAGGAGAAGTCACGAGTCTTAACCGTAAAGTTTCGAGCAAGTGCAAAGTTGTTGTGGCAAGTCAAGCGGAGTCCCTACTAAATGTCAAGCAAGTCAAGTCGTTACTTGGTCTGAGCAAGTAAAATGTCAAGTCGTCCAACCTTGCACGGTCACAAATTCGCAGTTAAGCCACTTCGCACTCACTATTAGCATGTCGCGTCATTGCCATATGTACTTGGCTTGCTGTGCTAACACGTTCACAACCACAGTCGTGAGCTGTACTAAGACACATTCACAAGCACATGGCTTTTGTGGCTGTATTTTCTATGACTTTGCCACATGCGATGAAACATAAGCCACATGACACGCCTGAACAGATATCGGCGAGCCAAATCGTAACGTCAACTCAGCTAGCTTCCCTGTCTGTTGCTTTTCTAGTGTAGGATGAAGTTCAGTGTCATAGTTGCTGTCTCTCATGATTTGGAAATCATGCCGGTTACCATTCTTTTGTTCATTTTAATCCAAAAGTGACCGTTTTCAGAGCTCGTCCCAACATGGAACTTGCTTTTCACTCAGCATCACAGGAAGGGAGCGCCCTTGGACGGGATGTTTCCTTTCAGCCCATTGAAGCAATGTCATCGTTGCTTTTACTCTTTTCCATCCGGCAACATCTTTGGACCTCTGGATTTTTTTTTTGGTCTGATGTTTTTCACCCAATCCCGATCCCGATCAGCTAAAAATGCGGTGATCAAGCCCCATTTCCCATCACGTGTTGGGATTATTATAACTCTAATACTGACAACAATTCTTCTGCCAGAACCATGTGTTTGATCGGAGAGCATGGTGTCGTCAGTGAGCTAAACAATCCTCCAATTAAAAACACGAAGATGAGAATCCACAGTTTGGTACTTTTATGGAAGTCTTTCTTATAAAACTGCATCCAAACAGAAACACAACACGAATGTTTGTACAGTATCCAATTATACATATGAAATGACACTCATGTAACAGCCCTGTTCTCGAGCTTATTCAACAATTCCATGGTAAGTATTTGAGGAGATTACCTGGCGAAATATTGATAAATGTCTCGAAATAACTTGCACAACAAACAGTGACATGTACAACTGTGTAAATGTACTTACAGATTGTACATTGAACTTGTCAAAAGAAAGAGGATGGAAGTAGATGTAATCACACCTCTCCACTGTTGTGATTCAAAATGGCTACCCCACTGACTTTTTGGGTGGTTTT